CTATAACAATAACAACAATAATACCTTTCGATTTATTGATCGCTCATCCTGCAGAGCTGCTGGGTCTGAGCGATTTACAGTTACCTAGCAGTTCAAAAGCAAGAAATTGCAAGTTGATAAATAGGTACCACTTCGGTGGGAAGGTAACAGCGTTCCGTGCGCCTCAGCATTTAGTCATGCCGGCCACATGACCACGGAAACATCTTCGGACAGCGCTGGCTCTTCGGCTTGGAAATGGAGATGAGCACCGCCTCCTAGAGTCGGATTCGACTGGCTTTCGAGCAAGGGAAACTTTTACTTACTGACATGTGCAATACAGTTAACAAATGCGATCTGAGCACTGTTTATAACAATCTGGTAAAGCAAGCCTGTATTAACCCTGTCAAGATGCTATCATGATGTTTGTTACCCAAAGGCAACACACAATTATACACTATACAATCATTCTTTTTATGAGAACAGCGCTGGGGATAGAATTTATGACCTGTACCTCAGTTAGTGCTGAACACGTAGATGAAACTTAGATGCTCACGCCAGACATCTGAGTAGACATGGGCGTAACTCTTCCTAACAAGAAATGTTTTCTTCAGAGGACTGCTCTGCAGCTGGAGAATTCCTGTGGGTGATACTGCCGCCTTCTAAACTATTCTTCAGTGGGAGAATGTAGGTGCCGATTTAATTAGCAGCAAGATTCCATCATCTCCTAAACCTGATTTATTACTCAGCAAGGACTCTAAAGGTCTTTGCTTCATTATCTGGCTTACGATTTCTTCTGGTGTGCACAGGAACGAGAGGCACCACACACCACATGTGACATTACTTTAAAACACAGGGGCACACACACACACACATACAGAAACCAAAACCAACGCATACTCTAGTTAAGGGAGTGAGAGAATTGTTGATAGACTAAGCCTGGCATGGGCCTTGATTAAATGCAGATTTCAACGGCCTAGGAACAATTCAACCACTAGGGGGCAAACCTTCATAAAATGCAAAAATAAAATAAAATAAAATGTAAAAACCCAGAGCCAAAACAGGCTAGATTAGATGTATTTTACATTGCAAAAACTAAGGGCCATTCTGGAAACTCTTTAAAATTCTTTTTAAAAACATTTAAAAGTTTGTGAGTTTTCAGTATGCAGACTGAACACTTCACTTCCCTCTTGAGAGTTCTGGCACCATTTTCTTTTTTAAAGCCCTATATATAATCATAATTTACATGCCTGCGAGTCCAACAGAAATAGGAGATACAATGACAGTTGAAAGATCTGAAGGGCAATCTTGTATTTGTGACCAGAAACGGCACTCGTTGGTCTGAAGCAACAGAACAAAGTTTGAGTCCAAGGGCACCTTAATTCTGGGTGTAAGCTTCCATGAGCGGGCACACAAAAGCTTATATCAAGAATTAAACTTTGTTGGTCTTAAAGGTGCCACTGGACTCAAACTTAGTTCTGTTGCTTCAGACTAGGGCTGCCAAGTGGGGATGGGGGGGCCGGGTAAACCCCGGCTTTGGAGGCCCGATTTCCGCCACCGTGGAATTGGGTCCTGGGGGGGGGGAACTCCACCCCCCCCGAAGCACAGCGGCGCAAGAACCACGGCGATCACGTTGGGGGCGTGGCCCCGATCGTCCGAGGGAAAACTCTATGGTTTTCCCTCCGACGATCGGGGCCACACCCTCAACGTGATCGACGTTGCGCGTCACTTCTGGTGATGTGCTGGCGGCGCGCACGCGCATCGAAAGACAGCTCCCGGAGCCCGGCGAGGCTCCCCCGCCGGTAGGATATTTTTACTTGGCAACCCTACTTCAGACCAACTAGTGCCGTTCCTGATTTTTGTACCTTAATTCTGGATGTAAGCCTTTGTGTGCCTTGCACACGAAAGCTTATACCCAGAATTAAACTTTGTTGGTCTTAAAGGTGCCACGGGACTCACACTTGGTACTAGTTGGTTAAGTGAGAGTTGGACAAGAAATTCTCAAGTGCTGCAGAAACATAATCTTCAGTCAGGCCTGTATAGAGTACTTGTCACATGTTCTGAATTCTGCACAGCTTGATATCAGAAGAGAAAGCTAATCTATTGCCAGGTCTGTTCTTCAGACTACTGTCTGAAGCACAGAAATATATTTTGGCCTTGCAGCCCAATCCCTTCATGAGCGTGCTCACCCCCCCCCCAAAAAAAGCCAGCACTACCTAGCAATAAAAGACTTCGTTGTTATGAAGCACATGCCATGAGGCATGCCAAGACTGCACACAAAACCCGAAAGGAAGATGTTAAAATAATATTTGCAATTTATTGCACTGACTTGTAAAAATGACCTCAAAGAGATTGTAAAAATTGCACAATGTGGGGGGAAACATACATTCACAAACAGGTACGATAGCTGAGAATTGAACTAATGCTTTCAGTAACACGGACAATCTCTCAAAAATGTTTTGTCCCTTGGGAATACAGACTTTGCTTTACTTTTGGTTCATATTTGGTAGAACCAAATTTGATGAAATTGCCTTACTGTCCACATATCGGTAGCAGTGTTCCCTCTAAGCTGAGTTAGTGTGAGCTAGCTCACACTAACTCAGCTTAGAGGGAACATTGATCGGTAGGTGTTTTGTTTTTTTTAATTTTTTAATTTATTCAGCTCCTCTTTTTAGGAACAGAAGCAAATTAATACCCCAAATTAAACGAGGTCTCTTTTCTTGGCTTTCAACTTTCTTCAGCTTTGCATCTTTAAGGGAATTTGATGGGAAATGGAAAGCAGTGAGGAGCCATTCATCTCAGCAAAATGGTTGTGTCAACAAGCCTTGGGGAAGGAAAATTACATAGCAAAACTGCAGGAAAAAAACACACATAAACTAAGAAATGGTAAGGGGAAGATGTTCAGAAGGCACATTCCAAAATGACAGAGAGAAACATAACTATTATTTCAAAGAGGATGAATTACAATGAACGGTATTTTAATTTAATGTTTCTAGTGTTCATGCCAAGAAGTTTTTCTGTTCTTGTTTGGATCCTTTTAGTAATTTCTCTTTCCCTCCCTCTCACGTGTACATCTGCACTCATGCACACACATCGTATAATGACTAAGAGATTAGGCTTCCCCCAATAACTAGATTAGACAGTCTCCTTCTGTTATTTAGAATATCTGGAAAACAAAACAAACACTTTTAGGCAACTGTACTTTGTGTTTCAAGTAGTCTTTTATGTTTACTTTGCTTTGGCGCTGTGGCATAGCCTTTTTTAGTTGTGGCAAAGCATTTTAGTAAGCCTCCTTTTTCTGAGGCAGCCAATTTTCCATCTGAATTTGAGAGAAAGGAGAAAATCCCCATCGCTCGTTCCCTTCTTCCAAACATATTTTTTTCTGAAGAAAGATGGCTGGAGCACCTCAATTTTAGTTCATATTTTGCACATTTAGGGAAGTAGCCCAGATTGTAACACAACGAGTTCAACGAGGATTTCATTACTGACATCTCAGAGATGGGAGCTAGATTGTTACCGCATTATCTCAGAGTAGCTCCCCTACTGACAATACGCAGCATCTTTATAATGAGGTCCCCCTTACAGGCACACTCGCTGATTATCTATGCCTTTTAAACTATTGTCCTATGGTTCCATTCCAAGTAAATCAAACGAGATGACACTAAAGTATCTTTCTCGTGAAATTACATTATTTGTATGTAAGCTATACAATGACAAGCACAATTACCCTTCAGATATTTGAATAAATAGGACGACTCCATGTTCCATTTAACAAGCCAACCGCTGTAAAAATGAAAGCGCGTGCGTTAGAAGACCCAAAGAAAGTCTTTACAAGGCCATTCGCTTCAGATGAATCTAAAGCGATAAAATGCGGACGCAGAAACAGCTTTATAGTGAAGTGAAAGGTTTACATGTAGATGGTACCCATTCATTTAGCCACTGTCAAATATGTACTGGTGTTTATTCATCATCGCACGTGTAGCCATTTTTGCCAGCCAAGTGCTTCTGGTTTTTAGCCTGTTTGTTTTCATGTAGGGTTTCCAGGTCCCCCTGGCCACTGGTGAAGGGCCACTGGTGAAGGTGTCAAGTGTCCCAGGCACATCACTGGCTCTTGCTGTACCTGTATTTTGCCTCGGTTTCTGAGCCCATCCTATTCTTCCACTCTACACTCCCTCCTGCTTTCGCTTCCACTTTGTGTCGGGGATTTCTCTTGTTTCTGCATTTGTTTTACAAGAACCTGCATTTAGACCAATTCTAGCACTGTTGCCCCGCAGCTACCAAAACTCCTTTTGTTGCAATTCTTCGCTCTCATCTTCTTTCAAATTATTAATCCTTTCTAAAGTAGAATTGTTTCTGCAGGTTCCACTGCCCCTCCCCTGTTTCCGCCTCTCTCTCTTTAGGTTGCCGCTTGTCCGCCCCCCCCCCCCCCGGTTCTGTTTTCTTTCCCTCCTTCTCCAAAGACGAAAGAGGACGTGTCCTCCCACTCAGGCAAATGTTTAAAAAGCCAGAGAGGGCGTAAGAAGGAAGTCAGTAAATATGAAGGTCTAGGGGATTCCCTGCTCCCAAATGTGTCAGTCTTGCATGTGTGGGCCTGGATTTGCCCCTCCCTTCCCTTCTATTTGCAGAATCAAAGAGGGAGGGGTTGGCAGCCAGTTAGCTCAAAGAATGCGGGTTTTGCTTGTAGAGGCAGAATGCAAACAGAATACACAAATAAGTAAACCAGAGGGAGACAGAACAGTGCGGAGGGAATACGTGCGACTGAGAAGTCAACCCTTACGGCTTGACACCTCGGATTCTCTGGAGCAAGCTGTCGGTGCAGAAAGGGCCACTGTCATCCTTTGTAGCATCTAGTAAGGCTAAGATGTAGCCACTTGGCCCTACACTGTGCCCATGTTATACAGAGATTTAAGTCCATATCAGCCAGAGGCCTTCCTCTGTACACACATTATCTGGTGGGCCGCACGACACCATTCAGCTCTTTGAATACAGACCGCCATTTTATTAGATTTGCGCTGGAATCTGACCTTTTCCTTGACGGCCCTTCTTCAAAATCTGAAGAACTAATATCGTTGCTAGTGGAGGATACTTGTGAGGCATCGTCCTTCTCGTTCTCTAGGTGTTCCGACCCCGGTCCTAATCCTTTAGACTGGCCGTTACTAAGGAGTCCTGCAATTAAGAAAGATAAGACGGGTGATTGTAAACAGCAATATTGTAAAGCAAGAACCATAGTCGCAGTAAATTTGTTCCAAGATACACAAATTAAAAGAAGGGCTCGCAGTAGAACCCAGAATCCCTTTGAAGTTTTAACACATCTCTTAAGTGGTCCGGTAGAGAGCAGGGGCTGCGGTGGCTCAAGTGGTTAAGACACTGAACTGCAGGCTGTGGAAGGTCAATAGTTCAGCAGTTCGAGACCTGAGTGTGCTGCATGACGGAGTGAGCTCCCGCCTCTAGTTCCAGCTCCTGCCAACCTAGCAATTCGAAAGCACGAAATTGCAAGTAGATAAATAGGTACCACTTCGGTGAGAAGGTAACAGCGTTCCGTGCGCCTTGGTGTTTAGTCATGCCGGCCACATGACCACGGAAACGTCTTCGGACAGCGCTGGCTCTTCGGCTTTGAAACGGAGATGAGCACCGCAACTCTAGAGTCGGATTCGACTGGCTTTCGAGCAAGGGAACCTTTACCTTTACCTTTTTAGAGAGCAGGAAATATATTTAGCATTTGTTTGCTTTTCATGAGTAAAGAAGGGTGGGTCACTTCTGGGTGATGTGCATGCGGCGCGCAACTGACGCCGGCCGGGAGCCCCCCACTCCTGGCGAAAATCGACTTGGCAACCCTAAAAACAACAGTTCTTCATAAAATGTCATATTTTGCATTCTACTGAAGTTGCTCTAAAATTTAATGCATGGATTTTTAAAACAGCAAAGTTAGATCTATTTTACCCCCATTCTAATGTGCTTGGAGTTCATCGAAACAGAGGAGAGCTAAGTAAACTATTTATTTATTTCTAAAGACCAATCTGTAAGTACCTATTAAGTAACCCCTCCGTAGCACATGCAACTTAAGTAATCCATCCAGTGTTTGTGTGTGTTTGTGTGTGTGTGTTTACCCAGCTACCAAATAATAGACTATTAAAAATAAACAGTTGCCTGGGCATGAAACACAGCAGTTGAGTGACAACCTTGGCAAATGGTATGAGCAAAAGATTACAACACAAGATTAAAATAAAATCCTCTCTTTTGCCCTCTCACATAGAAGAAATGGACAAGACTTGAGCGAAGAACTGCTCCTGGCAAACAGCAGTTAAATACCAGTTCACTAAGCCATCCTAAAACCATTAAACATTTACAGTCTTGTTAAATCTGTGGCAGATATTGAACCAAGTATCATTTTAAAAACCCTGTAATATATTACATGTTTAATATTTAACTAAGAATTTGTAAAGATCTAATCTCTTGTAAGAATTTCAACTATGCCCAGGAGGAAGATAGGCTATACTCTACAGGGGTAGCCATGTTAGTCTCTACCAATTCTCCCTCTAAGCTGTAGAGTTCGGTGAACAAAAATTCTACTTTGTGAGCTACCAGCATTAAAGTTGTCAGCAGGTGATTTGGCTACTGCATAAATTAGTTTGCCCTGAAGCCATCTTTCCTGAGCCAAGACAAAAATCTGTGAGCTGGAGGCTAAAAAATGGAGAGCTAGCTCACACTAACTCAGCTTAGAGGGATCACTGGTTTCTACCAGCAAAATAAACAGAAGACCAGTGTAGGGTTTGCAGGGATGAGGACTTAGCTTTTCGGTGTTGTTCTTGGCAAATGCCAGTGCATCACTTGATGAGATGACATCACTTCCAGGCCATGTTGGAAGTGATGTCATATCACTGTCACATGGCCAATTCCCCCGTTTCCCTGACACACACACACCCCTTCACCAAGCTTAGTGGTGAGCTGGAAGGTAGGAGGTCTCCCACTCCTAGTCTCTCAAATCCATGGGGAAACTTCAAGACCAATAACACTTATTCCAGCGCAAGCTTTTCTGAGTCAGAGGTCACTTACAGATGCATGAAATGATCAGATGTATTTTATACTATGTTCAGATGTATGTATACTCAAAGTTGAGGACATCAAAAAGATCTGGGGTGGGAGAAGAGACGTCTGTTTAAAACAACATACAACCAAAGAAGTAAATGATCTGCTACTGAATAAATGTAAAATAGGTCTGGTGCAGGGTGCTCCATACTTTAAAAATGTTATTTAATATGTGCCTTAAAAAATTATCTAATTTAGATATTCTCCCACCACCTGAAATGTTAAGAGTTCTGCTTTTTTTCTCCCCACCACTCCAAGATACCAGAATAGCAACAGTGGGGAAAGTGACTACAAACTCCTCTGCAAAGCTAAAGCTATTGTGTCACTCTCTGGCTACTTATCAGTGTGATTTTACTAGTGGCATAATTTTACTTCATCAATTATTCTGTAATTATCATTGATATCTGAACTGTTATTTTATTCTATGGCTCAAGACCTCCAGTTGAAGGAGCTTTCTGTTACAGAGCTAGGACTGGTAGACCACACCCCAAAATAAGAGAGAAAAGAGACTAAAAGAGCTAAATTGTACAGTCTTGTCAAAAGGAGGGTTTTTCACACATTGGCTTGTGGTGAAAGTTGGAAATATCCGTGTCAAAAATTTGTATCCACACCCAATATGGTTAACTTCATAATGAGAGACAGTTTGGTGTAGTAGTTAAGAGTACAGACTCTAATCTGGGAGAACCAGGTTTGATTCCCCACTCCTCCACTTGCACCTGGCTGGATGACCTTGGGCAAGCCATAGTTCTGATAACAGATGTCCTTGAAAAAGAATAGTTTCTCTCAGAGCTCTCTCAGCCCCGCCTACCTCACAGGGTGTCTCTTGTGGGAAGGGGAAGGGAAAGGAGTTTGTAAGCTGCTCTGAGACTCCTTTGGGTAGTGAAGGGCGGGGTATAAATCCAATCTCTTCTTCTTCTTCTTCATTTATTAATTTTCAAGATCAATCCCTATGTCCTCAAACCAGTGCTCACAAACATGAGGCAAAGACCAGACGCTGTTTATAGTTAACATTTCTGCAGCCTATTGTAGCCTTTGGACATAAATACGTATCCGCCTGTCCTCGACCACAGCCAGGGCTTTCTCGGCCCTGCCTCCGACTTAGTGGAACTCTCTGCCCACTTCCATCAGGGCTCTGCGGGACTTAATGCAATTCTGCCGGGGCTGTAAGGCAGAGATGTTCCGCCAGGCAAGGACAGCGACGGTTTTCCATCATAGCCCGCACCCTCCTCTTTTCTTTCATTCTGCCCACTTCGGCCTCCACCTTATCCTGCCCACGAGATAGAAGAACAGTCCAGAGTAGGCATTAGATTAAATTATGGACACCATCTGGACAGTATTAAATTAATAACAACTGATCTGTTGATTTTAATCTGCATTTTTGTACGTGTTTTTTTAAGGTGTTGTAAATCGCACAGAACCTTGTGTACTCGGGGGATTGGGGCGATTCAGAAATTTAATAACTAAATAAATAATAGACAGCAATAAAAACCTTCAACACGCTTTCAGTGCAATCCTATGCAGAGTTGCTCCAGTCAACACCCATTGATTTCAAAGGGCTTAGACTGGAATAACTCAGCATAGGACCGTAAGGCTAGCTAACTATATGTTGCAAGGGGCATTGGGAAGGAAGGCCAAGTCACAACGTGACTGCCAGGCTATACTACAGTCCACATCGTGCTGAGATTTAACTCGGCCAGATTAGGTTTCTTCTGGAAGTGGCTGTGCTGTCATAAAAGTCATAAGTGTTCCCGCTTAACCGTCTGGAGCAAGGTCACCTCACTGTTGGCGGGCCAATGGAATCATCACAATAAGGAATCACAGAACCATAGAATCAGAGAGTTAGAAGAGACCTCCAGGGTCATCTAGTTCAACCCCCTGCACAATGCAAGGAAATTCACAACTGCCTTCCCCCACCCCCCCAGTGACCCCCGCTCCATGCCCAGAAGATGCACCCCCCAAAAAAAAGCCCTCCAGGATCCCTGGCCAAACTGGCCTGGAGGAAAATTCCTTCCTGACCCCAAAGTGGCAATCAGCATTTCCCTGGGCGTGTAAAAAAGGGCCACAAGAACTAAGCACTGAGGCAACCCTTTCTGCCCTCCCTCTCATGATCTGCCTAAGTTCACAGAATCAGCATGGCTGTCAGATGGCCATCTAGCCTCTCTTTGAAAACCTCCAAAGAAGGAGAGTCCACCACCTCCCGGGGAAGCCTGTTCCACTGAGGGACCGCTCTGTCAGGAAGTTCTTCCTAATGTTTATCGGAAAACTTTTTTGATTTAATTTCAACACGTTGGTTCTGTTCTGAACTTCTGGGGCAACAGAAAACAACTCTGAGCCAGTCTCTATATGACAGCCCCTCAAGTACTTGAAGAAGTTTATCATATCACCTCTCAGACGTTTCCTCTCCAGGCTAAACATCCTTCCACCTTTCCTGGTAGAAGCCGTTAGAAAGACTGCCCTAAACCAGATGAAACTCTCTTCAGGACTTCCTTCCCAAGAACCTTGCCAAATCCTAAAAAATATGCCACTAGGTTGGGTCTTGCCTGTCCATTCCACAGGCAAGCAGCATTCTGACAATGCCCCCTTGCACTGGCAGAACAGTAACTTATTTAGCTGGGTTTTTGCAAAGTAGTATTTAACAAGAGGCTGCAATATAAAACTCTGACCAACTTTAAGTGTAAACAGATACATAAATGAAAAGGTACGCTGCGAAAAAGAAGCTATGGAAAGGATGGAGGCCTCCCACTTTGTTGCATCTGATTAATTCTGTGCCAATTCAATTCTAAACACTAAGCAATAAAAGACACTTTCTTATACAAGTGACATATTTTGAAATTCTGACTCCAGTACAGCAGGCAACCAGAGTTAAGAGCCCCGCTACAACACTTTCCTTCCCCCTAGAGTCTATAAAATCCTCATTCTAGACGTCATTACAATTAAATTCTTTTGGAATCATGAGCTCATGAATACTGGCTATAATGCTGGTGTGTGTTTTTAAACCCGTTTCAAAAAATAGAACCACACATTTCCCTGCAAACAAAAAAAGAAGAAGACTGATTCTCTGGGTTGGCTCTTCCCCTCCT